CACTGCAAACAGCTACCAACGCTATGGGTGCATACAGGACTGTCACTTCAAATGGAGTACTTGTTTGGACTCCGAACATGCTTTAAAGTGTGCTAAGCTCGTATTTAATTTTAGTGGTCGCCAAAATTGTCGTCCTAAATAGGTCGATGCAAGCAAAATAGTTGCACCTAGCAGTGTAGCTCAATACTAACCTGAACTAAGTTTAGGCTAAGTATCACCGATCCTCCACAAAGTGTAGACGGTCACTGGCTGCACTTGCAAGACGCCATGGAAATGGCGAGTAAAGCAGCCTGCAGCTAGGAAGAACGAGCCGCTAATAAACACTGGGTCTCTGCAGGCTCCCTGCAACTTTTTGACACTCATTGAACCATTCCGACGGATGGAGGGTAGAATATTCCTTATAAATCCGCCAATCGAAAGATTACCCAGCGCTTACGCAAGGACCCTGAGGCTTGGTGGTCAGAACGCGCCAGTGAGGTGAAATTAGCAGCTGCATCTGGCAGTAGTTGGAAGCTGTTCCAGCTCATCTGAGCGACTGGCAGCAAGAAGCCTGGTGTCAATTAGACGGTCTGTGAGGTAGATAGCTCACCGATAAACAATCTTCAGTGACATCTGGAACGGTGTGTGGCGTCCTTCAAAAAGTAGTCAAGCAGGTCAGCTACCCCCAGCATCCTCGGTTTCAGTTTATGGCACTTCATGGTTAGTTAACATTTATTCACCTAACGAAGTGGAGGTCTATACGGAACTCCAAGTTCTGAAACGTCACAGGTCAGTCAGCCTAGACAACTTACCTCTGTCTTCTTTTTAAGGATGAAGGAATGACTCTAGTTAGGGAACTGACTAGATTGTTTGAGAAGGTATAGCAAACTTAGAGTGTTTCATCACTCTGGAATGAAGACACTCTTGTGCCCATCTTTAAAAAACGTCTACGTAATTTTTGTGACAATCATCAAGGTATTATTCTGTTACCAGTCACGTCGGAAATATTGGCTGCCATCATATTTCGCAGACTCTGATAATCAGATGAGGAAATGATTTGCGGGGAACAGGCCGGGTTTTCGTGCAGGTCGTGGATGCATTGATCATGCGTTTACCCTCAACCAGATGCTTGAACACTGCCAGACATATGGCAAGTTAACAATCATTTTTTCTTGACATTAGGGCTGTCTTCGATTTGTTGGAAAGATATGTACTCTGGAATTGTCTGTTAGAGAGTAGTGTGTACCTAAGAAATATATTAACATCTTGAAGCACTATATAATAATGTCTCAGGTAGAGTGAGTGTATATAAGCACCTGTCTCCGTAGTTCCAAATCAGCAGTGAGGTTAGACAATGCTGCCCGGTTTCTTCACTCCTCTTTAACTTTGCCATGGATGAAATTCTTGAAACAGCTCTGAATGTGTGATTGTGGAGCAGATTTACCACTCGGATAAAGGCCATTTGACCTGGAAAATATGGACTATATTGTCTTACTGTGCGATAACACACAGGCTGCTCAAATTGCACTTAAGCCGTTGGCGAACGGTGTCCGTTAGTATGGTATGTGCCTTGCACCATTGAAGTGCAAAGTACTTTTGCGAGATTAACAGGAACCTATGCCTGCGCTCACTCTTGGTGGGGAGCCATTGGAAATAGCCGGAAGTTTCATATCTGGATAGTTGTATTAGTGGTGAAATTTCCAACCCTATATTGACAGTCGAAGTGACATACACCTTTCTGGGCCACCTATGACGCCGTCTCGAAGTTATTCTCACCGTGTAAGGTCGGGTTTACAACGCCTCGGTGACAGCAATTCTCCCCTATGTCTGCAAAGCCTGGCCTCTTCAAGCTGAGGATATGCGGAGACTCTGTATGTTCGATCATCGTTGTCTTCGTGGGATTACTGGTATCCAGTGACAACGCCATGTCAGTAATTCTGAGGTTCGACAGCGTGTTTGGGCATGATGGAGATGGTCATTTAATAAGTGATCTCGAAACACCGGCTTCTGTGTCTTGGATATATGTTATGCATGTCGTCCCAATGGCTTCCACATCGTTCATTATCTGCTAGCCCTGAGACTCGATGGAAGAAGCGGAGGTGTGGTCAGTGTACGAAGTGGCTCCGTGGGATGATGGATAGTTGTATCAGGCTAGCATCTGTTGGTGGAGTCCGAGAGATCATGAAACCCAGTTACTTTAAGCACTATCATGTATGGATCAGAGTTGAAACGAGTGCTGGTCATGCTACAGCTTCTCTATCTTCTGCTACTGAAAAGCAATGAATGTTCTTTTTTGAATAGACCTTATTGGACTGGCTTTCTAATCCTTCTACTCTTATTGTGTGTTTTTATTTATTTATTCATCCACTCCCATCGCTTTATGTCTTCATAATGTTACATTATTTTGTGTTGCGCATTTCTCGGTACCCTTGCTATACCATGTTTGTGTTCTAATAATATTAATAATAATACTCGGTATTGAAACGTTTCACTCATCTCGTACTTTGAAATTCACTCACTGATTGTCCTCTCAGAATGAAATTAAATCTGGAAGTATTCATGATGCCTAAGCGGTAGTCCCGTCTTCGCTGTCCTGCCTTTTCTGTCAACTTGTTGGTTTTCGCCTGTAGATCTTCGGTTTGTGCAACAAGACATTAAACATCAATCATCATCGTTGGCGAAATCCAAATCTAGGGTCTTTTCCTTGACAGTTCTCGAAAAGACTTAGATCTCCCTTCTTGGGAAGTTTGGCAAGGTAGCCCTTCTTACAATCAGCAAGTATCTTCCCTCCCCTCCAAACCTTCTGAAGAAGCGGTGTCAGTATGTCTACTGTTATCTCTGCGTCTGTTTCCAGTGGTTCTAGAGGAATTCCATCTGGTCCTGCTGCTTCCCTGGATTTCAGCAGTTTTATGGAATTCAGGACTTCCGCATTGTCGAAGGGCTTGTGTTCACTGATAATTTTGTGGCTGGGCTGCTGGTGGTAGTTAGAGACGAGTTGCAGGTGGTGGTCGATTCTAGAGTTTTTTGAAGTGGTCAACCTATCGTTTCCTTTGTTTCTTCTCTTTGGTAACTAGGTTTCCTTCACCATCTCTCATTGGTTTCGTCTGCTTTGATCTCCTCCCAGATAGTAAGTAACCTGGTTATTCGACATAATATTGTCAGGTCTCTTCTTCCTGCAGCCTGTCTGCTTCACTTGCCAGTGTTTCATAGAAGTGTCTTTTGTCTTTCCGTGCACTCTTCTCCACTTCTTTGTTCAGTGTAAGGTTTTATACTTTGTACTCAGCTGCTCTTTTCTTTGTCCATCCTTGCACCGGTTCATCTTCTGCTTCACCATCTTCCTCTCCCTTGTCTATCAGCTTCCATGTGTCCATCGAGATCCATTCCTAGTCTTGTCTTGTTTCTTCTTCCTTCCTAATACGGTTATGCAGGTTTCTTTCCACATCTCTTTCAAAGACTTCGAGTGTTCTTCCACGCCCGATCCTTCAGGGATGTTGCTCAGTGTCTCCCATATTTTCCTTCAGTTCAGTTTCTGTTCTGGGCGTCCAACTTGAACTGTGGTCTATCACCAACTTCTTTGAAGGCTTTCAACTTCATTTTGGAGGTTCCTTGAACTAGAGACTAGATAGTCATCTGAACCTACATCCGCTCCCCTTCTTGATCTGATTTTGTGTCCAGTAGACTGCATCTCCACTTTCTTCACATTGAGATGAAGTCCATCTGATTTTTAGTGCAGTGTATCCTGGTGTCTTCGTGAATATCCTTGTGTTTGTACACATTGCCTCCAATCACCGAGTCACTAAATGCGCAGAAGTCTGCAAACAATTCTCCATTCTCGTTCATTATTTCACCTAGTGCTTCTCGACCTATGATCAGCTCTCTTCCTCTGTTGTCTGCTGCTAGTTTGACATTCATGTCACCCATCAGAATGAGTTTTGATGTCGCCAACTGGAGTCCTGTCCAGTACTGATTGTAGTTTTCTGTAGAATTCCTCCTTCTCTTGATCTACATTATTTGTAGGTGCATAGCGTATCATTGAATCATTGTGACTTTCCTTCTTTTTGAGTTGAATCTAGCTGTCATGATCTTGATGCTGGAGGTGATTGGTTCCTGCTACTAGAGAGAGAGTCTTTGATGCTCTTGGGGACATCATGATAGCCACTGCAAAACTCAGTGTGCTGTGCTCGTGGTTGTCGTCTGGGTGACAATATCAGAGTAAATTATTGACTCTCCAGTTGACAGTTTGGAAAGTCCACTCCCATTCCATCTGCTTTCGCAGACTCCTAGCACTTCTGTGCCATACCTTCTCATCTCCTTTGCAATCTGGGCAGCCTTGCTAGGTTCAAATATAGTGCGGACATTCTATATCCCCATGTCTTTTTTGCTTTCATCGAGGGAGAGAAGACACATCGGCCAATTGGCTTCCCGAAGGCTTTCACCAACCGGCGTCATTTCGTCTCTCCGATTCCAGCGAGGAATAAGTTTATTTTTATATTTTCTTTGTGCTTTGAAGTTTTTAAGCGATTGAATTGGTTTTACGGGGTAAGGTACCTAGCCCTATTCCCAACCTTTCATCTTTATCTGAGCTTTTGACCGCCTAGTAACCAGTTAACGTAATATGATCAGAAATGACACTTATTTTGATATCTCTTTTTTTAGTACTACGGGTCGCATTATTTTATCTGTGTTGTCATCTTGATGTTTGATCACCGTAGTGTGTGAGATACGAGCATGTAAACAAGCATACAATTATCCCCACATCTAAGTTTCATTTTTCTGACTGTTATAACTGTCTTGACTTAAACTCATGAATATCCATGCTATACACATTCTACATATCGTTTTTGTCTTTTCCATACTAATGCTAATCAGTATATTTCTCACCTGCACTTGTATTTACCATCGAGATTCCCATGAATTTACTCCAGACTACCAAACATTTTGTTTTCAGAAAGATCGTGAGTTGACACTGATCAATTAAACATCATCATTGTATTATTATTCTCCTTTTTCTGAAATGATAGGTTGACATTCAAAAACCTGTAGTGATTCCTGGTGACTTTGAAAGGGAACATATGGTAGAATGTGACCAACTTGGAGGTATTCCATATCCTCCAGTATTGATTGAAAGTCTGGTAAGTTTTAAATAATATAACTGTATATCCTAAAACCTATTCAGTAATGTGAAGAAACTATTTTACCTCTTTGTTGGTGTTGTGTTCTCTGAGCTGGATGGTTTAATCACCAAGCTTTCATTATCATTCCAGATGACACTATTGACACAAACTTCAGGAAGAAGTGATCTATGGGATTTTCTCCACAGGTGGCTTAGTAGCTTGTCCTGATAACCTTGAATGAGATTGAGTGTTGCCGCTAAAATCTTGTCATTTGTTCCATACTCGTTTTGATAGGTTGTCCAGCGGATGTAAACTTTGACATTCTTTTGCTTTTTTGTGTTTCTTATTGGTTGATAGATTGGCTCAGTGTCAATATAAACTTTGATCACTGACTTATCTGAATACCAGGCCTCTAAAAATTCTCTGGCATCCTTTGTATTTCCTCTATCCAGGATTTCCACACTTTTCCAGGTGAATGCATGTCCACAACTGTCTGCATGTATTGCTGTGAGCAAAGTATAAGTTTAAAATTTTTGAAATTAACTTACCAACCTTGTACATTTTCACAACGTAGGCAATGAACCACATCTATTGTATGGTTCTTCTAATGCCGGCCATAGAAATCCTATACCGTCGGCACCAAAAGACAGTGGGACAGGGAGAGGTGTGCTATTTTGCTGGACAACTTTTTCTAACCTCTTTCTACCCATACGGGAGGCAGCATCAGCGTGGCACTGCTGGCCATCCAAGGGAAACACCTTGATGCTGTTACACCCCGTCAAGCCAGCAGCATGACTTCGTTCTCAGACCCCCATCAGAGTGTAACAATCTACACTATAACAGTGACTGCTTTTCGCCTTACCACTATCCAGCAGACCTTTCTGGCATGGTAGGACCTCGAGAGAACAAGTGTTCCAACCAGTGCAGCAGGTTGAATCATTTTGGTATGCAAGTCCGACCACCACTTCAAAGTAGCAGCTATCTGCCAGGTCTTTCTTTATTGGACAGGGCTTACACATATATATATGTTTAACTTATTGAGTAAGTATTCTAAGGATTACAAACGTTCGTTTGATGTCAAAAGGGAAATATGTTTCATTTTTTGTTTGATTGAACTATGAAGACAAACTAAGAAATGCATTTTTCGGATCTTCCTGTTCTCCTAAATTGTTTCCCTACGGCACCTTTTAGCTCAATTTAATGTATACATTGACCAGTCAATATCGATATTTTTTAAACGAGGCAACGAGGGTGCAATACCTAGTTGATTTACTTTAATTGTCTTTGTAGTAAAACCATGTTAGTGTATCCAATTTGGAAATAAACTTGTAGAACTAAAAGAAAGATGTCTACAAATTTTTGAAGTGTTCGATATGCTATTGCCTTTTCTGAATACATCCTATTTTTTTCTACTTGCTTTTCTCTTCCATAGGATCGTTTGGCAAATGAATTGAGCACTGAAAGATTAAAAGTAGCCAAAGATATATAATAATGATGAGCTAGTTAAATAATATAAAAACATGTTAATAGTTTGAAATTTTTTTATTAGTCTCATTACTTTACAATAATAACAATATATTTGCTTTATCGCGAACCATAATTACGTTTACAGTACCAAATTTTTAGCATGTGATATTGTATTAGTTTACCCATTGTACAACATTTCTAAAATATATATTAAAAATAGTGCTATTTAACAATATAGAATAAAGAGTAACATGATTGTTTAAATGTTTACTGACTTCAGGGACATGATAACTATTTGCTAATGTAATGTTGGTTGATAAGACTATGTCTAACATGATTTACTTCATACAATACACAACCTATGATATTCTAGAAAATAATGTGAAATTTATTAATCGAGCAAAGAAACAGGCAAACATTGATATAACATTACTCAGTATTGTTGCTAACGTATTATTTTATTACTTTGTATAAAGCAAACTGGAGATTTACTGATAACCAATGTTTGTTGTTCAATTATGTTGACCGTTGTCGTAAATTTATTTTGTCATCTATTTTCATTTTCTCTTTTTTGTTAAAATTAAACTATGTGCAAACACTCCGGCCAATTACATATTCCAATTGGAATATGTAAATATGACTAGTATATGAATCAATGAATGAACGTTCTGTTTTGAATGAGGTACACTATATCCTTAGTTCCTTCAATGACTAAGCTATAAGTCACACTTACTACGTAGTGACTTATCCTAGTACCTGTTCACTCGAGTCAGAGTACATAGAGCTAGGTTTAAACTCACGAACCACTGCTTGAATGCCAAGTGCTTGAGTTTGTGAACTAACTTTTAGTGACTATGAATTACAAGTTGATATCCAGCATTACCTTATTTATGAACTGAACTAAGTGTGCTCAATGACTATGAACGCATCCGAGTCCAGTTGCACTTATTTATGTAACCAAGAATAATATCAAAAATAAAAAGGGCTATATTTATGAAGGGTCATAGGTTCGTGTAGTGTAGGGCGAGATTTTTTCTGATTTAATATCTAATATTAGTCTTGTAAATTGAAAAGTTTTTACTCGGGATTTTCGTATCAAAAACAATTCACGTTCTACAACTTCTATGAAGGCTTAGGGACATCAGCTTAACTGATGTAACTAATCAGCTAAATTACAAATAAACTTCAAAACTTTATGTCAACATTTCATTTGAAAAAAGTCACCTCAGTTCCTCGTAAAACTCAGTAGAAAAGAAAAACTTATAAAATCAGCTATAAGTTCACATGGTACTCAAACTGATCACTTACATGTGGGCATGCAATTATAAACACAAAATCAGTCAAATCTGTAGAAATAAAAATATTCTGCCTTGGCTTTCATTAGGATTGGTATACGGCAGGTTTAATTTTTCTTGTCTGTAGACGATTCAAGATCAAATTATGGCGTGTTTGTTTGAATGGTACAAAGGAATGAATGGACGTGCAGCCTATAATGTTCACAGAGGTTACGCATGATTCATGATCATATCAGAATATTCGATTTCACCACAAATGAACAAGAAAGGAAAACCGTCAGACCCATAAACACTTGCATCATGAACTCACCGGGATAGCTCTGTCAAAATCAACGATTTTTGAGATGCTCTGGCTATCCCTAACGGACCGTCTAGTAAAACAACTAAACTGCTGATTGGTTAAATCACTTTAAACGTTTGATCTACTTCACATGCATAATGTTGGCTCTTCTAAAAAATTTAGTAAAGTAGTGTGATAGAGAATGATGAACGAAGTCATCTGTATGTTTGCCTTTCTGTGAGCAAGAGAAGCAAACTTTGGAGTTCTTGGTTATGAGGATAAAACTTCCTGAAAAGTGATTGGTTACCGAATTCTTGGACAGTATACCACCTTCTACACCCATTCAAACAGTAGATGTACTTTTATTTTGAGTAACTAAATTTATGCAGTTAACATATAAACCTTCAGCATCACAAATACATAATGAGAAATTTTCATGTCGCCGTTAGACACCATCACCTACAAATTCTACTGTGATGTAACGCCCTTCGAATTCTGCAGCAATCCAGATACTGTCAACTTCAGTTATTATATCACATAGAGACTACACTAACTAGTACGTTTAAGAAATTATCAAGTAGACATGAAGTTTAACATGAACAGTAATTTTAGTTTAAGGTTATACTGATTTATCCTATACTCTTCATTAAATGCAGGTGCAGATCCTTGCAAAAATCACAACATATCAAATCTAATACACTGAATGGTTTTAGTTCCAGAATTCCGGCAACTTATTTTCATTTACATTGATTTTTATTTGACAACGCTTAATAATCCAAGCAGTAGGGTAAATCAAGTTTCATATGTTTGTGTATAAATACAATGTTAGTCTTCTTGTTTGCATTGCATAGAAATTAGTACATACTATGTTACTTGGCCTACCTAATTTCGTTTAAATATTTTCATCTTTGACTATCAACCGAAATGTATCCATAAATTCAGATCATACAACTTAAGCTAATTCAGTTTTAAATGAATGTTTAATTTTAGCAGTTAATTAACAACTAACCGTATAAGTATATTTACAGTAATTACTTACAAATATCACGGGAAGCAGTAGCAATAAGTGATATGAAAGCAGAGATATTTATCATTTCACTTATTTTACTAGTCCTGTAACCTTCACTTTTGTTATTTGTATGGTTCACTGTTCATTTAAATAGATCATAGTTTTTTTTACTATTTACCTTGTAAAGAAGAACCAGCTTGACTGTAGTATATCTTCTTTTCATTGCACTTTTCAACCTCCTATCAATTTTTTCCGTGATATTTTCACCTTTGAAGTTGATTTCAAAGAAAACTGGCTTGTTGCCCACTGTGATTGTATTTAACGTATTGTCTTCAGGTCTTCCACATTTATCGATAAACTTCTTAGAGTAACCATTGGTCCTTAGGATATTTTCAGTGTTCAGTAAATCTCCGTAAAGTTTATCACTTGCGCATATCCTTCTAGCTATATATAATGGTGTTATAACTTGTTCTCGTTTAAAACTAATTGTACAAAAGCTGTTGGGAATTCAGTACAGTTCGCTCCACGAACGTTTCCTCTGCATGAACTCTCAAAGCCTACCACGTTACTAGACGACATTTTTTCTTCCTGCTTTGATAAAAACAATCAAGGGGACATGTATGATATCTAAAAAGTTGAATTTATCACCGTTCTCACGTTCCACGGTGAAGTCAATGTTTATATGAACATGACTGGAACACATGATGTAGTTTTCACTTTCAATCAAAGCATTGTCTTCCATTCAACTAACAGGATTTGAAATAAATTTTCGTCGCTTAAACGTCAAGTTTCCAGGCAGTAAGCGGTGTATCTATCAAGTCAGTCACTCACAACGATTGATTTTTACCAATAAAGTTTAAAATAGACCATATTAACAAGCACCAAACACGAATTCTTGATTGAGTTGATTGGCTCCTAGCTCATAAACCAATAGCTTTACCAATGGCTTTGTTCCTCTAAGCATCTGCGATCGGATTCAATAAATTTTAAAATAAATACCTTACTCTGTCAGTTTTATAACAATAAAGTTTAAATCAAATTGTTACATAAAACTTGTAAGTCTTGGGCGATAATACCAACTTAATAACTTCTTTTCTGAAGCGAATTATCGTTCTCAGACTGAAATACCCAGTTAGGAATGACAAGGATACGTGTTAAACAAACAATTACAAGTACTAGTCATTGGCTGAATTGTAGCGTACATTGAACCCATAGTGAACACCATAAGGGAGAACTGTGGCTTACTGATTCAGGGAGATGACTTTCAACCACTGCGTCTTGGCTTAGAGACCTGTCCTATCTATTAACGCCTGGGCAACCAGGAGGTACCACCATTAGACCTCACACAACAGGCGCGGTTCACTGCCTGCTGTACCAATCTGTACAAGGGTGCTGACATGTTTTGTTGTCGAACGCCGTCAGGACGTCTTGGACTAGGATTCAGTAGTTTCTGTTTTATATCACTGAACGATCCAATCCAATGAAACATTCACGATTGAACAATCCAGCTCAGAGAACACACCCCCATTAAAATTATCCTCTTAAGCTACAAATATTCTCCATCATCCCAAATAGAATCCTAATGATATATTGCCTGGAAAACTTGGATGTTGTACAATCAGCAGTACTTTAAAATGATTTGGAACTACATGGATATTTGACTGCATCTTGGAAATATTCGAACTGATATTCGTTTCGACAACTTCATTAAAGGCGATAGAAATAAAATCATAGAGAATATACTTCTTTCTAGACGAAGTGGATCACTTCATTTCATGTCCTTAATAGCTATTTCTGAAGTTACTGATTTTATTTAATTAGTAATTACATATATAGATTACAAATATCATTGGAGTAGTAGCTTGTTAATTCTTTCTTTCTGTTTTATCCTCAGTCTTGAAGTGTATCAGGTATATTCTTCGCGTTATCAGTAACTTAATTGTTAGTGAATCCTCGAGCATACCGTCTAGTTATTCTCGAAACCGTCTTTAGCAAATTTGTTAAGGAAATCACTAAAAGGCAATGTTACAATAATGTATGATACAAATCACTTACGAAAATATTGGGGAGAATTTATAAGCAACTTACTTTCAAGAACCTTCGGACAGCCTTATACAAAAGTTCAACGTTAAAAATATACTACTTATGAGTAGCAGAAAGTAATCTTTTAATATTGAGACTAAATTCAAATGACTTTAGAAAATCAGTTTGATGACCTGCGATGGCAGCGGTTTGGTAGGCATGTATTGATACTGGGTGATGATTGACGTGTCAGTACGATCAAACGGAAGTAACGCATCAAGAACTCTTATGGTAGATAGTCAGGTGAAACCCCGGGGTGATTGAGGTGAAATAAAAATCTATGCAGCAGTCGGGTCTCGTAGCATCAAGCCGTAAACCCAGTGGCTACTGGTAGGAATCCTGTCGCTGGCCAAATTATCATTACACTTTCATGTTGGAAAATTTGGTATGTCATTAAAATACCTTAAGATAGATAGAGAAGTTGCATCTGGTCATAAAATATTAGAGCTAAGCATGCGCAAATGAATGCAACTAACTGACGCTTGTACTTCGCTATTTCATACATAGAATACCTTGAAATAAGAACAGTAAACAGCGGTTACAAATATTTGTTTTGGTGACCTACGGAGTTGGGTGGATTTTGAGGTAGTTCTCATTAGGAATGAAGAACTATTGAAAACTAAGTACAGCTACCAATTGACTTACTTTCCAATGCTCATCATCGATTTGCTTATAAATGGATTTTTTTGCTATTCTATAGAAATTTCTATGTCTTCGAAGTTATAACTTTTCAGGTTAAGTAATTTGAGAATGATTCAGATGCCCATCAATGAAACTGGACAGTGGTCACACCATATTGGAAATTCATAAAAGTATGAAATAGTGAACCAATGAATTCGAAACCAGTAGCTGAATAGCAAGACGTTCGTTATAAAACGTTTAAGAAAGCGTTCCATATCTTCATGTTGATATATTTAAAGTTGACCTTATAATACTTGATACTGAACGTTTGAGTGCTTTCCGCTAGTTTTGAAAATGATTTTTGATCGTCAATACAAACCCACAACTCTTACTTCAAAATGTCTCCTCTTTTGACAGCCTATCGCAGACGCACCAGCAGTGTCGGAATGATTGACGGAAGCGAAAGTTCTTCAGGAACCCTAATATAAAGAGTGAAATCAGATACATGTTCAATAACCTGGTTTTCCTTGGCTCAGTTCATCTCAGATTAGCAGATGTGCACGTCTAGGGACGAAACACATATTCACGGCTCCCCAAGTTTTGATTTTCCTTCATATGATGTCTGTCGGTGATGATAACGTCCCTGAATTACAAGGGTGCCTTCGAATGTACTGAAACTACTTTCGGAAATCTAACCAATAGGGCAATAATTCCATATCGTAAGGAGGTTGCGACAGAAACTAAAAGAATTCTCAACAATTATGACACAAAGGTCTATTTTCGTGCACCGAATACTCTACGTTTTACCGTAATGAAAGTTTAAGACACAGTTCCGAAAAAACCGCACTTATGAAATCAAATAAGCTGATTTTAATGGAGTATATGTAGGGGAGACAGCCAGACAGGTGAATGTAAGTTTGAGTGAGCGTAGACTATGTCTAAAGCAGATTCAAAAAACCTCGGCAGAGGTTGGGTGAGTAGAAAGCAAATCGAGAGCTGCGTTACACGCAACAGAATCGGGCCGTAAAGTTGACTTTGACGGGACCAAGATTCTACATAAAGGCTTTGGGCCATTCCAAGAAAGAATGACAGCCGAAGCCCTACATATATGAGCGAATCCAGATAACTTGAGCAGACGAAATGGAGTGCAGTTAGCTGCCTCTTGGCAATTACTAATTAGTAACCAGAAAGAAAAACTCTAGCATCCTCCTTCGAAGCCAGTTTCATCTTCATTATCTCTGTATCAATTACAGCACACAATCTGGATTTATTTGATTCACTATTAGTGCCACCATCACTATTAATAAGATTCACTTTTACTTTCTTCTTGTAATTTACTGAAAAATTTGTCGATGCTAATTCACCCCTACGTACCAATAGAAATGACAGACATCCACCCAATATGCTCCATCGTACTTAAAAAATTAATGAACAACTACACTGTCATTCTTGATATTACTTGTGTCGTATTTGCAATGAAGGAGCATAGGAATAAAAACACTTGCCACAGAACAAGGGATAGACAATTTCACATTGAGTCAATAGTAATCATATTTTAGAAGAAGAATGTTAGGGATTGGACATGGAGACACAGTACACCTTTTGAATCCATTTATATATCTTTGGTATTTTAATTTTGAGGTTGGTCTTCATCATGGACTAACACCAACTGGAAAAACAATGGAAACCTAGGAGCACTAAACAGCCGTTTTTTCCCGACACAGGACTACTCATCAGTGCGCACCTATGACCTCACCAGGGAACAAACCCAGGTTCCTCGGCCAGCACGTTACCATTGCGCCACTAAGTCGAAATCCAATGGTCCGTATTTCCTAAAAATCTCCAGAATGAATTAATTTAGTGTTTTTTGACTACTAGCTTCGAGAGGTAACGCCCGAAGTTCCAATGCAAGATCGTTACCGGTGGGGCCAAACAAGTCGATTAACGGGACAGTTACTTAATGATAGCATTGAAAGCAGGTCGCGCTATTCCGACAAAGTGGCTCGGTGGCAATGGGCTGGCCTCAGGCCCCGAAGGTATTAGGTTTGATCCGCGGTGAGGTCACGGGTGCCCACTTCTGAAGAGCTTCATGCTGGAACGAAATGGGTGTCCAGTGCTCTCAGGTTTTTAATGTTTCTCCAGCTGACATCCGTCCATGATGAATACCAACCTGTAATCAATAAATGAATCTCCACAAACCTCCAAATTTTAGTTTTTAATTGTTTCCTAATGAAGCCCGGGTAAGACTTGAATTTTTTATTATGCGATGGTGTTTAAGTAATGTTTTAACTGAAAAGATAAAATTTCACTGAGGTAGCACATTATTTACACATTGTTTGAATGTTGATATTTGGAGCAAATTTCTGGCAAATGGATGTGCGTTGTTTGACCACCCTATGAGCATGTAGCGATTGGGCTGATACACCTTAAGTAAATTATGATTATCATTGTTTTCCCTTGGGTTCGTAGTGGAACATACGGCTGCAGTAGCATGTATCCATTGCACTCTGTTCCCTGCAGTCTTTTGAACCTGATTTCACGTCTACCCATAAGCTTTCATTTCTTCCTCACATGATCTCCTCCATACCACCCTCGCCTCAGACGCCCAACTTGTCGTTACCCATTTGGGTTCCACTCGAGAGCCTGATGCGTGATGTCTCCAATCGGCCTTCTCAGTGTATGCTCAATCAATTTCCACTTTCTTCAGCACATTTGTTGGGTTATATGTTCTTGGTTGGTTCGTTACCAACCAGAGTTCCTTGTTGCTTATTCTTATTATTCTGGCCATCTGATTATCTACAGTATTGAGCATAGCCAGCTGTTGATAAATGTCTGTAGATTGTTGGAAATGCTTTTTGTAACGCGGTAAGTTTCTGAACCATCACATAGAAGCACTGACTTGATGGACGTTAGTGTTCAAAATCCGGATCCTTTTCTTTATGCTAAGTGCAGTAGATCTTCACACTGGTTTCAGGTTAATGAAGACCTGTCTTGCTGCCTTTCCGACCCTGGCTTTGACGTCCTCATCTGTGCCTGTGCGGTCGGTAGCTGAAACGGTGCTGCCATAGTAGGTGTAGTTGGACGAGACAACTTCCTTTAGGTTTCTCCCACTGATGGTGATTGGTGCTTGTTGGTGGTGGTGGTGGTTGGTTATTTTCATCACCTCTGTCTTCTCTACATTCACTTAAAGTCTTTTCTACGCTGCCCTGCCTCTTCTGTCAACTTGTTAGTTTTCGCCTGTAGATATTTGAGTTTGTGCTGCAAGACATTGGACATAAATCGTCATCGTTGGCGAAATTCAAATCTTCTAGGGTCTTTTCATAGGTCCAGCTGGCGTATGCCCATCTTCTCGCTCCTCACTGTTTGCTGCATGTCCAGTCGACCACAATCAGGAAGATCATCTTATTCCTGTCTTCACTTGAAAGGCATCACTGAGCTGGGCTTGTTATTGTGAATCACTCGGCATGTAGCGCTGTCATATAGCTGTTGAATGAGGTTGATAAAGGTTTGCGGCACTAAAACCTTCGTATTAAAGCTGCAGCTGCCTGGTAAATTACTTCTCGGTAGACGCTGTCTAAGGCCTTTTCAAAGCTGAGGTAGAGAGTTGACTTTCATTCTACGCTCTGTTCAATGATGATGCACAGTGTTGCAATTGGATACCCACATAATTTGTTCTTCCTGAAGCCAGCCGGTTCCGGTAGTAATTTTGAATCCAGCGCATCGTTTAGTCCCTCCAGGATGATGCGGCACAATATTTTGCTTGCATTGATGGACAACAGCATGATTCCTCGCCAGTTCTTGCAAAGGCTTAGGTCCCCCTTCTTTGGAAGTTTGACAATGTTATGTAAATTGTACCAAGCCATTATTTTTTCTGATTTACAATATCAGCTGAATTAGGACCAGTTTAAAAACTAGCTAAAGGAGTCAATATCAGGATACATTAAGATTCTATTAGCTTTCTGACCGTTGAAATATATCATGGAAAGGGGTAGGTTATCTGGTTGCGTCCATGAGATGCTGAGTTAATAATTAGCTGAAAATCCTTCATCCTTTTGTAAATATTTAATAATCTCCGCAATTTTAAAAATCTGTTAATCTTCATTTTAATTCCAATCTATTTCTGCACATTTTACTTTTCGATGCCTTGCATAAATGACAACTTTAATCTTTCTGTACGGATTTTCAGTTTGAATTATCCATCCCTTTTACAGAAAGTTTGGCTTGATGTTTAATTTTAGCGCTTACCAATTCCATTTTGGTTGACTTATTAGATATTTCATTGTATGATATATCTAGTCAATCAAATAAAATGGAGTTACATTCTACTACCGTGCCTATATTTTACTCTTACTACTTACTTCTCAAGACTGAGAACTAAATGTTATAATGATATTACTTATTTCAGTGACGCTGTTGAATACGTTACAACTGCTGATAACAGAAATTCTCTTCCTGTTTATAAAGAATCTACTTAAGTGTATAGAACGAATAGAACATCCGTTACGTAACAAGTAGGTTAACGTGAAACCATTGGTATACGGCTTTCTAAAATAAATTGAAAATGTAATTTACTATGCATTGTTATACTATGCTGTATTTGAACGTTTACTCCAAAGTGTAACATAGATGGCGAAAATCAAAAGTTACTCTTTTTGCTCCTAACACCTCATTACTTCCTATTTTACACAGTGATGAAGAAAGACACAGAGATCATTTATATGTGATGAACTTTCAATAACAAAGTTTATAAGAATTGCTGTTCGCTCTACTTAAAATACCTTAAGATGTGAAAATAGGAGGATTTCCTTTTGTAGCATAGCATGTGGCTTTTGGTGTCACCGCAGGCTAGTGAGGATGCTCATTTGGAATCAGTGGGGTTGTAATTAACTGTTGATATGTACTTCCAATTACCAGCGTTCAGGTCATAAATTCAGACCAACTTCAACTATTTCGCATCAGGAAATCCGAAAATAACCAAATCTAAGTTAATCGGCATGGCTCATAGACTGGGACATAACTCAGGATAGGGTAGCTCGAAATTATCTGGAATATTTGGATAGCATCTTTCAAGTGGGTTAGTTCAAAAAACTGTGCTAGCAGTAAACATTTCCTGGCACTGCTGAATATTCTAACTAAGAGATATTTCATAATTCTAACACAAACAAGCGGCCTAGGTTTTTCAAAACAAACTCAAAACAAAATTATACAAAACTTCTATCTATGGATGAGCAAGGAACAGAATAGTGACTGAATTCAGACATTTTTTACTCTTTTGGCGGTATTACAGTAAAAGCTTCAGAATGGAACTGAATGGTATCATAGAAGTCAAGCAATGTTTCGTCTTGTTTCTCATTTTGCAACTGGGTTTCACTTTTTAAGTACCGAGCGTCGAATGTGTATTGTCAACATACTTTACCTTTTTCGCCACCACTTGTATTCATGATTCATTTTAATTAACAGCAAGTACCACAAATTTTGCTGCTACATATACATATCCAGTCACTTTATTGGAAATTGCATAACATGTAATCTTAATCGGATGTACCATACTTCACTGGAACCTAAGTTATATTCTGAATACTATCTGGTAGATAGGTTAACAAAGTGATATTTTGCTGATTGGTTTAAATAGCAAAAGTGAAATCATTGTGGATTTGAATCTCTCTAGGCATATCAGTTCCCTCGAGGGTGCAGATACTCCTTGCAGATGAGTACCAATAAGCATGAAACCTAGGTTGTTGGCTTTCTATCTATTACCTCCAAACACCTAAAATCAATGAAAGTCTTTCGTCTATAAAAAGATATTATAACTGTCAGATAATCATTTGATTAGCGTGACGTAACGAAGACTCTCACAATATGTATGTCGATGATATGATTATTAACAAATCAAATAATAAATGGACTGTTTATTCGTAATAGAATGTTAATTATATTGTCTACACACCTTCTGGTCATGTGATTCACAATGTGTGAAACGAGCGGCAACTTTAAAGGCCACCCTAGCAACTGCTGAGATAACCAATTATGTTCCAGATTTTAGTAAAAGCTACTTTTCCAGCCGGAATACCAAAACCTAATTGGTTATCTCAGCAGTTGCTAGGGTGACATTTAAACGTGCTTTTAAATGCAACGCCGTAGCAACAACTAAAATAACAGTCAGCCCTCTTTGAAAATCTGCCTTTCCAGTTTAAATAACAAACGCAGTTGGTTATTTCGATCGTTACTAGGATGGTTTTCAGAGTCACTCGTCTAAAAAACGGGCTACTTTAAAGGTCATCATAGCAACGACCGAAATGATCAATTAGATTTCAGTTTGTCTGGAAAGTTAGATTTTCACAAAGTACAGAGGTCTAATCGGTGATTTCAGTTGCCGCTATGGTGGCCTTTAAAGTCACGCCTAAAAAACAGGGTGACACTAAAGCTACCCAGCAACGGCTAGGATAGCCAATTAAATTTCGGTATATCTACTAGACGGGTAGTTTTCATCAAATAGAGAAACTTGATTGGTCACTTCTGTAGTTGTTAGAGTGGTCTTTAAAGTCACTCTTAAAACTCACGACATACAATAGCAACGAATCTAATTTATCATTTTAGTACATTTTCAGTAAAAATGTTTATGTACTTTATTTCACTTTAGGAATTTATAGGATATGATAAACGTTTTCTATATATGAAGCTTACTTTTACAATTGACAGTCTTCATTCAGTTTTACATCTAGAAATTGTGTATAATAAAGGTGTGTGTAGTAAGCTACTTGAATAATATGTGGTTATAAAGAAAGCTGTCTAATTGATTTGGAAAGGTAATAAATCTCTCGTCGTCCAACCTCTGCAGCAACAAAGACTATTTTTTAACTTCGGAAATCGCTTAGACATCCTGGTTTAATGAACTACAAAGACTAAGAAAATTTCACATAGTTTCAAGAAGCCCGTTCATAAGCAATGACGAGTAAAGGAATCACAAATTTATGAAGCAACTCTTCTATAAATAATCAAATTCATTACAATTCGGATGCCATCAACATAACATTCAGCAATGATTCAGTAACCATCCTAAGAACAACAATACATGTGACCGAAATGACTTAACATCTATTGCAAATACTTAAAAAGTGCCAGTTCTGCTTGTCATAAACAGAAAACGGCTATAAAAACCATGGCCTAAAAGTTGTGTAACTGCCTTGATACGATTATGGGAAATCAGCCGTGTTCGGCACCTTATTTATTAGATAATAATGTAACACTTTTTGTTCTATGTCAAACAAAGAAACCTAGTATAAAATTTCACTACACTACAATTACTAAGTAACACTATTCCACTAACCTGGTACTTTATTTTCAGAGTTTTAGTGAGTGACTCAGCAACTGTTTTCGTACAGTCATTATGCGATAAAGTAAAGAAATTCAGTTTGTGAAATACAACTTTTCCATCATAAGCATATTTTGTGTTGATTGGTTTTGACAGTCTAAATTCAGTCAACAGATTTAGGATGGTGAGAAGTAAAAATATATTTCTACAAACTAATCATTATATTCGAACTTCAGTGATGAAACTTAACTGTTGAACTGTCCAATGGAATACCAGTGGAATATATACGTGATACTAGTAAACTATTCCTCGAAATTTAATCTTAATATGTGTCCAGCAAGTATGTATTTTCGTACTGAAAACTTAATTAAACTGAATTTTTTTCTTTAATTGACTTCAAGTTTTGATGAAAGTGATCGCCAACACACATGTACTCTTTAACAGAAATTATCCATTTTCTGAATACTTGAGGCCGATATATTTCAAGGTGAAAAAAAGTGCAAATAAAATTGTTAAATCTTTTTGAATTGTTGGAAAAACTATTCTGTACATGATTAGAAAATGTTGATAACTAGATAACATATTAGCAGTCATTTAATGTGGCCATTTTTTTCATTAATTTTAAGTTTAGCTCTTTCAATTATTTGTTTACCCAATTCAATTTCATTCCCCTTGATCATATCCAAAAGTTCTTGATTAGAAAAGGTTACATCGTCCAATAAGTTTTTCACAATATCATTTAATTCAGATTGAGTAACTTGAATAATTGCATTCAATTCATCTACATCTAATGAATCAATAGAAGTAAGATATCTTTCATAGGATATTGAATGCAACTCTTCAGTTTGTTTCAATTCACTTGGTTTAATAATTTCTATTTCATCATCTACAGACTGTTGTTGTTGTATTCTTTGTAACTGCTCACTTTGCTCTGAAGTTTTCATATCGGAATCTATTTCTGCTTCGGTTGGCTCTATAAGTTTTAACCACTTAGTCACTTTTTCAGAAAAATATTGAGGATATTTTGAAACAAATGCTAGGGGAACGGCCTCTGACAATGGAGCTGGCCATACAGAATCAATAGTTTCAAATTTTTCCAATAAAGTTTCAAAATAGAGTGGACAAGGAATTCTTATCTGAAGGTTTTAAAAGACCAGATAAAAATCAGTCTAAGGTATAATAGTGCAAATAAGTTTAAAATAGTAACCGTATATTCAAATATATTCACTATCCACGATTAGTGATAGTAATTTTGATTAGCTTTTGCAAACCTACGTCTGTTTGGCCTCCAGCATAATATCTCAATACGCTATATGTACTGAGTGTACTGTATGGAATTCTGGGTGAAGAGAATAAATCAAGTTGTGGAGTTGTAGACCGTCTATAAATGAGGTATTTTGAGTTTGCCCAACCATTGTCTACCCAGAAATACTTTGTTATCATAGGTAGTATGACGCTCACAAAACGCTCACGGAGCCCACACTTAGGCTTGGAATCAGATCATGAAGTCTTTGATGTAAGGTGTGGGCTATGTACGGAAATTTAAGATTCCTGGTCTCCAAGATCACTTAAGTCAAAAGGTAATGATTACTATAGCTAGGAACCGAAGGATATGACACACTTGCATCCAAGCTTTATTCACATTTAAAATGTGAAAACTAGCCACACATTTCTGTCCCCTTAATTATCTCTTATCCTTCTTCTGATAGTTTTTGATAACAAGTGACCTAGCTTTCGTTTCACTCTTCAAACTTTTGATGACTTTTAAAATGATGAACCAATGTCAAGTAGCAGCTTGGATCGATAAGCAGATATTTCCGCTCCCCAGTGGAGCTGTGAATTAGTGGTTTAGGGAGATAACTGTCAGCTATTGGGTCACGCGTACGAGGTCCACTCGAGCTACCGAGGTTTGGACAGCCACGCAGTATCACTAGCCCTCACACAATAGGTGTGGCTCATTGCCTACTGCACGGATATACACAAGGTGGCTGAATGCATTTTGTTTTTCTTGGTCTATTACTGTCTATGTCTATCCGTCCAAATTAAAATAACAGAGATGAAATAATAAAAAACGTACTGAAGACAGGTCAATATAAGTAATAAACAACTGATAGATGCTACTATCATTCATTAGAGGAATTCAAACCGTCCAAATATTGAATAGCGTCTCACCTATTTCCATGTCAAAAATTCATCATACAATTCAAATTTTAGACTTCAGTAGGTTATTCCACAAAATCAAAATGCGTGAAAATGATAATAAGAAAAATCCTACTCAGTAATCGTATACAGTCCCATGTTTTGTGCGTTGAGTCATGTTCGAGGTGCCCCACTGAGAAATCGACTTCGTCATCTTAAAGATACTGTTGATTTTAATAAGATGAAATACAGAATACAATGTGGTTGAGTATAAAACTGAGTAAATTGGGCTAAACAATCGAAAGAAATAAGTCAGTTTGATAAGTTATTAGAAATAAGTTTCATCAACAAAAGACAGAGGACTGATGATGCCATATGACTATCTACACCATAGTAGATAAAAAAACACTTCAGATCCGTGACCAGTGAATTCAAATTTCAATACGTTAACTAATATTAACTCTTTGGAGACGATACAGACACCGTGATGATGAGTGTTAAGAAGCACTCAACTAATTCATTAAACTTCAGACATCCGTTCCCCACTGAAACAACATTTATTTCTCATGTAAACTGCAACATATACAATCTACTTATATTTAACTGGAAATATGCTGCTAAAAACAAAACTATAAAAATAACTTTCAAAATGGCGATTCTTATCCGGACTACTGTATGATCCCTTTTAGGGTTATAATACTTATCAAGGATAAAAAGCATATACATTCTATGCCCAGTTAAACACTGATAATCTATCATTTATAACTCTTTAAAACCCACCAGTTTTTGATTTTGTGATGTAAATGGTCCAAATACCCTCTCCAATAAATGATGCTTATTTAAAAAATGCTTTGAGAAGAACTCAACTAACAGTTCACCAGCTGTTGAGTTGAGAATTGATAAATAACCACAGAAATTGTTTTGAAAATCCACCAAGTTACTAACATCACTATTATCCTTATGACTGGTGATTTTACCTGAGGTGTGCTCAAGTGGAAATTGGAATAATGATTTGAAAAATTGAATCGATGCAACTAAACAAGTTGTATTGATTTTTTCATCTTCTTCATTTACATTACCAGTGACAGTTATATCCGTCTGACGTTTGACCAAATTTTCATTTGTCAACTGCCATAGTTGTAAATGGCGTAGTAATATATAGGCAGTAGTGAAACTAGTACACAAACACATCAGTTTTTCAACTTCTTTTTCACTACAGTCATCAATAGACGGTAGATACTGAAACATTGAAATAGGTATTTTATGCTCAATAAGATTTGATTTCTTCCTGTAGAATTCTTCAATCCATTTGGTTGTTGACCATTTTATGCATTCTACAAAATAGTCAATTAAAGCAGAGTCCCATAAAGATGTTTTCGGTTCCATTTGTTTTGGATTATTATTGATCAAATTCATTGGTTCTATTTGATATTTCTGTTTAAATAAGTCATTTTTACGTAACGATTTATATGTTAAGTTTGGTCTCTGTAATACAATGTCTGACGTTTCTAGAAATGTTTGCATTTCTAATTTTAGATGAATATCATCGCATAAATTTTTCATGAACTTATTCGCTAACTCCACAGGCATAACTGAAAATACTCGGTGTAGTGTTAGATGGTATTCATCATTTTTAGAAGAGGTTTTCTTTACATTTGCCCTTGGATTCTTCATAGCTGAGTGTTTTATCTGTAATTCTCAGCAGGATATCAATTTATATGAATGCTTCACGGTCTCCGTTAACTGGAAAATGAATCATAAATTTACCTATTTAAAGACAACAGAACAGTGTAAAATTACCTGCTTTTAGTGGATAAAAATGGAAGTCACTTTTGAAATTAGTCTGGTAGTAAGCCGGTATAAAAAGTATCAAGCTGTTATCCTAATCGTACGTAATAGTGTTAGCTTCTCAGTTCTTTCTAGCTACATTTTTGTCAGTTTACAGTGTTTTAACTTACCGATGAACAGATATATAAAAAAATGAATGAAGCCTCTAATAGCTTATTATTCCTTGTCTCAGCCATTCGCATTTCTTAATTTATGGAAATAACCAGCACTTAAGAAATCAATTCAGATTTGACAATCTAAAATAGACGTAGTTTCACACAAATCCGGCCGCGGTCCAGACTTTCATCTCACCTTCAATCATCACCCAGTACAAATACTAGTCTGCCAAACTACGGCTATCTTAGACAGTCAAATCATAATCAATACGGTGTTCCCCCTCTCTAATTCAGTTAGATTGGGATTGGGATGATAAGTCCCGAGTATGTAGCCAATGTGAATACGATCAAGCGGTAGTAAAGCATCACGAATTCACATGATAGACGGGCAAAAACCTTGGTGATTGAAGTAAAACAAAATTCTAGTCAGCAGTCAGACCTCGTAGCTAAGTTGGCAGAGAACCGGGCCGGTAACCCGGTGGTCGCTGGCTCGAATCCGACCGCGGTCCAGACTTTTATCTCACAATTAACCACCACCAAGTACAAAACTATAAATTTGTTGGGACACAAAGTAATTTAAACATCGTTTGATGCGTGAAAAAATCCACCTCGAAGCAAAAGATTTTGTTTAGATTAGTGGTGTTTGGTTAACTTATCTGATGGAACGATTAACCGTTTCATTTTTCACATTAATTAAGAAATGAACTATTTACAAATCAATTTTTCAGAAACGATTCATTTTTCACAAGCCTGGCTACAGTATCAACACGGTGTCCTTGGCATACGTGCAAAACTCCTCAGCTCTTAGAAGTGTCAACGTTGACAGAGTAGTTCGTTGGTAATCTGCGAATAGATAATTCACGCAGAGGTTACAAATTTTTCTACCTATCCATCCATCGATCTGTTTACCTATCTAACTACATTTGTATACTTATCCACCGCAGCTTCCTCTACTCATTACATCTTGGTTTGAACATGTTTTACCAGCGTTATTTTGAAAATGACAAAGATCATAATAATTTACCTTTGAAAAAAAGGAAATTAAAAGGTACTAAATGATTTTCCAAGATTTTACCTGAGGTCAATAAAATTGTAGACGTACATTTTCAATATACTTTAAAGTTACAACTCAATCTAACTTTGCTTTTAATACCATACCTCGCGGATTAAGTTCGACAAAGACCTAATCAAACAGTGAGAATACTGTTAAAGCCCAGTTCATAAAGTCGAAATATTAAAGAACGTTAACGATTTATAATGAAAAGTCTGTCTTACTTGGTCCAAATATACTCCAAAGTTTTTCGTAACTGTTACTGATCTCACGTATCGTGAGAGATCTTATTAGTTTTGAAGAGATGTTCAATACAGCAGGGAGTTTGTCTATTGAGAAAATACAACCGACAATGGTAAAAATACCTAACCTTCCAATATGATTCCCACTTTTAATAGGTTCCCTTTTCTGCATCTCAGTCTGTAATATCCTTTTCGTTTGCACTTATATCCAATCTTGTCTATTATTTTCTGCCAAATCCTTACCAGTCGCTCATTATTACCTGGGTTTTGAAACATGTGCTACTTATGTGCATTCTTATAAATAACTTTTGCGAGTATTGAAGTTTTTTTCATAAACGTAAAACTCTAAACCTACCTTGATGGCACTGATTTTAATTCCCCTAAAAACAGTGATGTTTCGGATTTTGATTTATTTCTTCCTTTCTATTTTTATGTTTCCCAATCGACTTAATTCCCGGAAGACTAACATATGCGTTTCCCACTGGAGGCTGACGAATAACTGGATGTTCTCCAGGCCTCATTTAAAGACAAAGGATTAGGGGATGAATTCGTAAAGACCAATGTTTTATATGTCTTACTTCAGACTTTAAAAATGAGAAAGAAGATAAAGGTTGATATGAAAGGCTCAATGAAGTATATGCTGACTTTGATCTTATTTCTAAGACTAACCAATCAGCATACTTTACTAGGAACGTCTAAAAAGCTGACTTTGGGCAAATGTGGTTTCTGCAAGGTCTTTTAATGAAAGGAATTTCTGTGGTGACAACTTCTTATTTCTGCTGCTATAACCGCATAGAAGAAAACGGAGTACAGAAACAGATGTAAAGTGCAATGAAATACTTCCTTTATGACCTAAGAGGTGGACTGACTAAACGCTCAAATAAAGGTCAAGTAGTAGTATTACTGTGCTATTCAGTTGACCTTATTTGTTAAGTACACTTCGCGGTATACCTGCATAACTTTAATTACAAATGAAATATGTTTGTAAAATCCAATGAAGTAGAAAAATAATTTTCTGGCGTTTTGTGACTTCGTGGCGAATCGCCTATTCAGCAAATAAAACCTGTACAAGTTATCGATAGTTTAAGTATTTAAGTGGCTTAAACTATCGATAACTTGTAAAGATTTTATTCTTTGAATTAGCGATTTCCACGAAGTCGCAAAACGTCAAAAATTTATTTTTCTACTTCATTGGGAGTTTACAAATATATTTCATTTAGAATACATTTACCCAAAGCTCAACTTATACAACTTTGTCAGATCAAATTTTGATTCTGAAGTTTACAGTATAACTTTTATTTCCTCTAAAGCTAAAGGCAACAAGGAAAATGATGAGGAGAGAAATATTGTTGCTGAGCAAATTACTGATCTTTCCAAATATGTCTTTATCTCAAACAGTAACGAACCGTTAATAGATGTCGTGTTCACAGACTTCAGTAGAGCTTTTGGCAGTGTCCGATGTAAAACTGCTAGGAAAGCTCTTCAATTTTGAATTTTGTTCTAAATTTCAGGTCTGGATTAGGGAATTTCTGTACGACAGAAGGCGAAAGGTGAGATTTAGTATGAACATTTTCAGGTGCGAATTTGTAATGACTAAAGTTCCTCAAAGAAAAATCCCAGATCATCTCTTTTTCGTGTTATATGTCAACGGACTGCTGTAATTTCTCAACTCTCCAATGCTGCTATTCACCAATGGTATGAAAGTCTGGAGAGCCAAATGAAGTGGTGCTGATGGGTATGTGCTTTGAGCGAACAAAATAAACTTGTAGACTGTTTCAAAATTTGGCGCCTGGAAAATGACTGTATTAAAAGTCCAATAATGCATATCTGCCATAGTAATTGTTTCTAGTATTCCCTTAATAGTGCATCACGACTGTCGGTCTTCAAATTAAAAGACTTAGGCGCCAGCATAAGCCGTGATTTGAAAACTTCCGCATACTGCAATCCAGCTTCACGAAAAGGCTTCCATGTATTATGGTCCATTTGCACAACTTTCAAACGCTTTGCTCAAAATATAGTCAAGAAACTCTATTCTATACACGTCAGACCTCACTTGAAATACTGGATTCAAAACTAAAAACTGAAATCTAAAACTAAAGCCCTATGTTAACACACTTGGTCCGACGTCTGTCTCTGAGTTTTAACAGTTGGTTCAGTGTGCCTCCCGACATTTTCTACAAGGCTATAGCCTTAAATCTAACCTCACTGGCTCGACTTTTTGCCCTAGGTGTACTACACCTAGCCGCATAACTGATTCATTGCCCAAATTGCAAAATTCGACCCGAAATAATTGTTAACTAGGATGTGCACTAGATTCAACCTCATATCAGATTAATGGGCCATATGGTCCACTGCTGGCCTGAGTATCGCCTGATTTGTTCCTGCGAAAATGTTGAATTCCTTCTATCATTGCACCCCAGATAAAACTAAGACTTTAGAGGCATATTCACTGCAAGGATTAAAGTAAGAAAACTTGTTGACTATATAGCAGGAAAGCAGTAGGGGAAACGCGATTACCCGCTAAAATGTTGACTGGGGCAAAGACTTCTGTGACCATCGAAGAAGTACAGCTGAACAAAAAGAACCGGGCCTCAAGACCTGGAAGCAACAGCTCAAAAACTAAGTTTTCTTCACTCGCACTATTGATATTGAATAATGGGTTGCTCAACTTAGTGTTCAGCAGTAAGGTTACCCGGTCAACATTTTCTCGGGGAAGCTCGAGGCCATTTCTTAAACATGGGGCAAATCGAGGGAAAACGCGGGAATAAAATGTGCGGGACAGAACGCGAGGTGTTTCGCGGAAAAGCGTGGGGCAAATTGGGGGGAGACGTGAGGCACAACACGGAGGTTTAAAACTCGGGGACATGTCATACAATCTCTCGTTTTGCCCAGCTTTTTGCTCCGTGTTCTCATTGCAATGTGCGATATACCCCCGTCCCAGTCAACATTTTCGAGGGGGAAAATCCAGGTTCATGTTTCGGACTGCCATGAAAACATAGGACAAAACGTGTGACTGTGCAACATTTCTCCGAGTTTTTAATCTCTGTGTTTTGCCCAGCGTTTCCCAGATTTTTCCAGCGCCTCCCTGCGAAATACCCCGTTTTTGCCGCGCATACCTTATTTCCCGCGTCTTCCCTCGATTTATACCGTGTTTAAGAAATGGCCCCGAGTTTCCCCGTGAAAATGTTGACTAGGGTGTTTTTCTGCTTATAGCTTTAGAAGTACAATTGTGCTACTGTACAGTTACAGCTGTCATACAAAAACAAAATTTTAGAAGCCAAGATCCAAACAACACTTGAAATTTTACCCGAAATGCTTTGAACAACAGATCGACTAATGGTTGGGGTACAGAGAATGTCACTTACAAAATTGCCCACCGCGTTGTCAAGGTGTTGAAGGTCAGGAATCATCCAATATCCAACAGCATTAGTATGAGTA